TTTGTCAAATTTACCATGTAGAAATTATGTTTAGTAAATATATATATCCCTGTTTGGTAGATTATTTGAAAATTTTTATTCTAATAAACTATTTTAAGTTTAGTTGAGTTAGATTAAATAAAATAGGATATGATTCTAAGAATGTGTTTGATATTAGAATTGGATAAAATACTAAAAAGTTGTTTGGTATATTTTTTGAAAACATTTTCTGAAAATATTTAGATTATTTTTAACCTTCTACATTTGTTAAGTTAGCTAAACACCCCATATAATAAAAGTTTAAAATTAACAAAAACACCCCCACCCACTCAAGCCACTGCTGTTTGCCGGCCACCACTGTCGGACGACAGTTGACAGTCGCCAAAACGGCGCACAACTGGTCAGATCTAGCTTGTCGTGCGTTGATCTGACATTTTCTAGCTAGATTGACCATGGATCTGGCTGGAAACGGCCTGATCTACGAACATAATCTAGTCGTCATTAACGACCAAAATCTGGTTGTCGTCAATAGTCAAATGGATCTGGTCATGACCCACCAGATTTGGTTAGAATCTGTCTGTTTCTGACCAAATTTGTCCAAATTAGCGTATAAACCACTAGATCCGACTGGTCGTGTGTCGTTCTGGTGGCGATGGTTATTGGCAGGTGGTGGTGTGGTCTTGGGTGGATTAATTTTCAATAGAAAAAGTCTTATTTGATTAAGATTAATTTTCAGTATAATAATCCTAATAAGTAAACAAATATATATTTTGTTTTTTAATTAAGGGGGACGACTTACACCTACCCAGAATTTGCTTTAAAGATAAATTGGTACCCAAAAAGTTTTGAAATGATAAATACCCACTTTCGGTCCAAATCAGTTAGTAAATCTGTTAACTAAAATGGTATTATCGACATTCTATCATTTTTGCTGTGTTTCAAGGTTTGTGCATAAAAAAAAAGTTAAAAAAAATTGCATTAATAAAATATTAAAAAAATCTGCCCAAATCTCTTATCCTTCCTCTTCTTCTCCCCTTTCTATTTCTCTTATCTTTCTCTAATTATCTCCCTTCTCTTTCTTCCCTTCCTTCTCCCTCTTTTTCCTCCAGTCACTAGGCAAGAATCCGACACCGGAATATGGCCAGATCGAAAGCCTCTCTCCTCTCTCTCTTCCCGTATTCATCTTCTTCATCTCTATCATAAAAGGGCAAAAAAATGGGGTCTTTTGCAAAGTTGTCGCACTTCCCCACCCATTTTTCAGGAGCCCCGTCACCGAAAACCTTTCCTCTCCCTGCCAATCGTCTTTTCGGTGTGCCCTCCCCAAAACCCCCATTTTCCCTATCGTCGTTTGCTCACATTTCACTGCCCATTGTATTCCTAGGGTTTTTGTTTTTTGTTGAATTGGGATTGATTGGTGTTTTTCGGAGTTTTTGATGAGAAATTGATGGTTGGAGATTAATTGGGAGTGTTTTTTTTTTTTTTTTGTGTGTGTGTGTGTTTTTGTTTGATTTTTGGGGATTTCTGATCGGTTTTGGCATTGATGATTGATTTTCCAAGTTTTGGCATATCACTTGTTTGAGGTTTTGTCCCAAACCTTCTGTGCCTTGCGTGTTTTGGTTCTTTTGAGTGTTTGAGAGTGATTCTGTGGGATTTTTTGCATCGAATCTTTTGGTGATTTGAGTGAGGTTTTTTTGGGGCTTTGGTCGTTTTTGCTGTTGGTTGTCCTGTGGATCTGGCGAGAGATGAAGAAGATGAAGACAAGATTTTAATTAAAATTAATTATAAAAATAAAATAATTAAAATTGAGAAGAAATATTTTTATAAAATTAATATTAAAGAGAGAAATTGGATAGAATGTTATATTTTTGTTGGATATAAGTTACCATATAATCCTTTTTTAAACTAACTTTACTAACAGATTTGGACGGAAGTAGGTAATTGACGTTTTCAAACTTTTTGGGTTCCACATTGTCTTTATAGCAAACTATGGGTGGGTGCATGTTGTTCGACCTTTAATTCAAATAAGATAAAAGAAAAATGATTCAAAAAGTGAAACAAACAAAGCATAATTTTTTTATATCTTAAATATATTAAATATTTATTTATTATATAATATAATATAATGTTGTAAAGCATCGTTAATCACGCTTTTGTCCAGTGGTCAAAGTGTTGAATTTTAATTTTTGAGATCTCGGGTTCGAGTCGCGTGTGTACAACAATTTTAACAATGAATAATTAAAGTGAAGTGGCGGTTTTGCCCTTTTCTCTGTCCATCCTAACGGCAAAAATAGACATTAGGGGGTGTAAGTGGCTATTTCCAAACTCTCGAGGGGTAAAGGTTATGGATACTTTTAGGAGGTGTAAATTGTAATCATCTTATAAATGACAGACAAAGCGTTATTTTTTGTTAAGTTAAAGATGAAAGAAAAGCTTATACATTCTCACTACCTTTACAAACCTTGGATCTTTTCAATGTGGCATAAATTTCGTATCGCAAATTAAGCTTTTATCTTTACATTTTATGGTAATTTTTTAATTTGTCGTTTTACTTAATTTTTGGATTTTATTTTTAAATGTCATGTATCTCATGAATTTTTCTTTAAATTTTATTGCATTTAGCTTTTCTAAGATATACAACTCATTAAATATAAGGTGTAGATTGGCATGACCTAGGCCAGGCGATTTGGTTGCGGAGATTATTGTTTATGCAATAGTTAAAGATTTTATTATTCTGAAAATGGAATATAAGAGGGTAAAAATGGCTAATTGTTTATATTGTAGGTAAAACCGTCTATAAATTAAAGGGCGCATTTTCATTTTATTAATCTGAAAATGCAATAACTTTGCGATATTAATTTTTTTTTTCAGTCATTCATGTTTTTGCTGAAAATGATCGATTTCTTTGATTTAAGTGCTCATGTGCTAGCTTCTCATTTTTTGTTTTTTATTTAATTTCTAGGTTCCAAGTTTTAATTTTTGCTGTTGTAATTATCTTACCTGTTATACTGAGTGATTTATTATGTATTGTAGCATTTCTAGTGAAAGCATAATTTACAAAAAAAAAAAAAAAAAAAAGTTATCTCTCTGTCTCTGTGATCTGCTTTCTCTCAAGATTCTAACGAGGTTGAAGAGAGATAGCGCAGGCAGTAAATAATGAAGAAGGGGTGTAAAGTGTGAAGTTTAAGGAATAATGGGGTCAAAGAGAATTTAATTTTTAAGGGATAAAATTAATATATTATATTTATTTATATAAATCTTTGCGTGTAGTGGGCAGTGTAGTGACCACATGTGATTCATGTCTGTTGGAATTGGGCACTTTGCATCTGCTTCATGCAATATGAATTATAGATGAATATAATATTAAAAGAACTGGTGATTGCCAGATTGGAGGATAGAGGCTGTCAATTGTATTGTACAGAGAAATTATATATATATATAGTATGATTTGACATAAAGAAAGTAATGCATACAAAACATCATATCTTGTTCGATTTACATGACGATGTGTGATTTGGAATAGATAGGGAAAGAATTATTTACATGAAGCTTAATACTCCCTCCGTTTCCAAATAAATGACGCTTTGGCTAATTGCACACTTTTTTATACTCTAATTTTTTTAAGGGCGAACGACTTATTGATACTCAAGGTTTGTCGAAACGATAAGTTGGTGCTTAAAAGGTTTTGAAACGACAAATAGGTACCTTCCGTCATGTTCTGTTAATGATTTTCATTTGATAATAGTGAAAAGACTAAAATGCCCTTAAAAGTTTAATATTTTAGTTTTTTATAAATTTAAAAATTTCTAAAAAACCCCCAGGTTTGCTAATTTGACTAAATACCCCAATATATAAAAAGTTTATAAAATAACAAATATACCCCCGCCACCCACAGTGCCAGATTCAAGGCCACCGCCGTCGGAACCTGGCCGGAAAATTGCGTTACGACACAGACCCATCGGATCTGTGTCGTAACGCGTAGATCTTTCATTTTCCGACAAGATCCGTGGCTGATCTGGCCGGAAAAGGCCAGATCTACGGCCGTCGAGACCGGGAACTTGTCGGAAAATTGTGTTACGACACAGACCCATCGGATCTGTGTCGTAACACCTCGGATCTGGCCGGAAAATGCCTGATCTGGCCGTCGAGGCCGGAAAAGGCCAGATCGGTGTGTTACGACACAGATCCGACGATTCTGTGTCGTAACACAATTTTTTGGCCAGATTCTGGCAGTGGTGGCCAGAATCTGGCACTGTGGGTGGCGGGGGTGTTTTTGTTATTTTATATATTGGGCATTTAGTCAAATTAGCAAAACTTAGGGGGTTTTTAGAAATTTTTAAATTTATAAAAAACTAAAAATTAAACTTTTAAGGGTATTTTAGTCTTTTCACTATTATCAAACGAAAATCACTAACAAAACATGACGAAAGATACCTATTTGTCGTTTTAAAACCTTTTGAGTACTAATTTATCGTTTTGACAAATATTGGGTATGTATAAGTCGTTGTCCCTTTTTTTAATGTAAACAAAAAGAGAGAGGAGGCGTGGGCATACAAAAAAGTGGAGAGAGATGATTGAGGCAGACACATAAAGCAGAGAAAGAGAGAGAGAGAGGAGATGTGAGGGCATACAAAAAAGTGGAGAGAGATGATTGAGGCAGACACATAGAGCAGAGAAAGAGAGAGAGAGGACATGTGGGCTATCGCAAAAAAGTGGAGAGTTGAGGCAGACATACAGAGCAGAGAAAGAGAGAGAGGACATGTGGGCCATCGCAAAAAAGTGCAGAGTAAAGATAGACAAGACAAGCGGCACTTATTTTAAAAAAAAATGGCATCCTCAAAACGACACTTAACAAAAAAACGGAGGGAGTAATTGATCTCTTTGTAAAAGTTATCATATAATTTAAGGAGCAGGTTGATAATTATTCAAATAATTGCTCATCCACGGTGATTGCCGTTAGAACCATCTATATATAAAATCGTTTTATTAGCTATTGTATCATTTTAAGTTATTTAACACTGCATCTTTAGATTGTTTTTGTTGCAGTCATGGAATCCCACTTCCCTTCTGACAAAAATGCTCCCTCCAAATTCTCCAAGGAAGAAGATGAAATCTCTCCCAAAACCCTGGAAACATGCAGAGATATGGTTTCAGCTCTTCCTAGAGAAAATGGCTGGAAAGCTTACGGGGATATTTGCTTTTACCAAGGCTTTTGGTGCTATTCTTATTTACTAGAAGGCGCCATCTTTGCTCAAGATCACTACAAGGCTCAGCCTACTGATATTTTCATCTGCAGCGTTCCAAAAAGTGGCACCACCTGGCTTAAGTCTCTGACCTTCGCCATTGTCACCAGAACTCAATTTGACAATTCCACATCCCCTTTGCTCAATCAGAATCCCCACAATTGTGTTCCCCTTTTAGAGATTGATTTTTCCAGGAAAGGAATTAAGCCAGAGCCAGGCTCTCTACCTCTTATGTCCACCCATATGCCATACGCTTCTTTGCCGAAATCTATAATTGATTCAGGTTGTAAGATTGTTTATATCTGCAGAGAACCAAAGGATTCGTTTGTTTCTCTGTGGCACTATGCAAGCAAATTACGAGCAGGACTTCAAGAACCCATGTCATTAGAGGAGACTTTTGAGCTCTTTTGTAAAGGATTCTCTGACTATGGCCCTTATTGGGACCATTTATTAGGGTACTGGAAAGCGAGCTTGGAGCAGCCGGAGAAGATATTGTTCCTGAAATATGAAGACTTGATTAAGGATACATCCTTTTCTGTCAAGAAAATGGCTGAGTTCATGGGATATCCTTTCTCACTGGAGGAAGAAAAGGAAGGAAAAATTCAGGATATTGTTCAGTTTTGTAGTTTTGAAAATATGAGCAATTTGGAGATTAGTAAGACTGGAAAGTATTCTTCTGATAGTATTCTTGTCGAGATAAAAACACTCTACCGCAAAGGTAAGATTGGAGATTGGAAAAATTGTCTTACAGCTGAAATGGCTGAGCGTTTGGATAAGATAACAGAGCAAAAATTGGGGGAATTTGGTTTGTCGTTTGCTAAAAATGATGCATGAAAATAATTACTGGTGTCACTTTGTGAGGAGTGATTTCCTTTATTTAAGTTTCCGGGTGCTTCGCATTTTCGAAGTTGTTATGTTTTTATGTCAGAATTTGAGTTTTTATTGTTGTAATAATGTTACCTATCTGCTTATATAGTTTGATTTGATGCATTTATAGCCATTTTTTTTCTTATAATACATGAATGATGCTATTTACCCCCTTTTTTTTGTCTTATTAAACTCCATTTCTAAATATACCATATTAAGAGTTTTAGAGCTATATAAATGTCTAAACAAATCTAATTTATTCCCAAATTAGGCTGAAATTTATATTTTTTTGGGGTAAAAAAATTAGCCTGAAATTTATGTCACTGCTAATATATTATACATTAATTTTACCTTTTTGTTCTCATGAGATAGTTATTATAGCATAAAATCATATTGAAGATATTAAACAACATAATTTTCATTAAAATATAGCATTTTATTTGGAAGTTTCATAAATATCGAACATGTCACAAGCTAACATATTTAATAAATTTAACAATTATTATTCAGAAAAATTAAAATACAGAAGATGATAAAACAACATTTTATCACAAAACAATTCAAATGCTGGCAAGCAACGAAACTTAAAGTTACAAACGAATAATATAAAATTTGAAGAAAGAAAAAAAAAAAAATCATAAACATTTCAGACCCTGGGGTGGTCACCAAAAATTTTTCAATTTTAATATAGAGTTTTATCAATTTAGTCCCTATAAGTGCAGCTTTTTTAGCCACCTCAGGTTTTGAACTTAGCATTTTAGACCCTATAAATTTAGCTTCATATATGGCCCCATTATTTATTGAAAATTACATTTTTAGCTCCCTGAAAAAAAAAAAAAAATTGGTCCACCCCTGAATATATAGAGCGATGTTCTTTTTGTTTCATAAATTTCATTTTCTTTGTTTTAAAAAGGTAATATATAACTCATGAAAGAGAGTTATTGTATTTTAAATTAAATTTTCAAATACAATTACTATGAATATGGGAAATAAGAGATGTAGGAAAAAATAACACAACAATTCATCTTGCAAATATTATTTTATAATGTCCTCTTTAATAATTTATGTTAAGGATAAAGTTGTAATTATCAAAGAAATAATAATAGAGGTTAAATAAGATAATTTATAGGGTGCTAATAACATCAACCATTATACATACATAATTACATAAAATTTATATGTCAATCTAAAGAGAGAAGATAATACTATCACATAAATAGCAAACAAACGGCTACTTTTGGCTTCGCAAAAGATGAAATAGAAACATATATATTGTTAATTTTTTTTCTTTTATATAATCCAAAAATCTTTCACACTTACTTCGGAAGCCCGATTCGAAACTGGAATCCTCATTGCACTTTTATAGAAAACGGATCTGACCATGTAAAAAATTAAAAACAAGAAAAAAAAAATCGAAGCATCAATGTTGATGGTCGGCAACCAATAGTGCATAGATTATTTGGGTTGCATGACTTTAGGCCAAGCGATTTGGCCTCAAAGATTTTTATGCATCAATTTAAGATTATTTTTTCTGAGAATGGAATGTAAGAAGGTAAAAATAGTATTTTGAGAGTCAAAGCTGATGAAATACAAATTTAGATAGACTGATCGTAGGGGTAGTATTCTGAGAATGGAATGATTATGGCCTGTGTTAAGAATCGTGTTCCCAATGAATCTCTATCAAAAGAGAAACTAGAGTAAGGAACGAGAGTAGGTGACCTTAAGTGCTTTAAAGGTTTAATTTACCCCCTCTGAATGCCATTTTGATCATTTTCATTTGGTATCAGAGTAAGGTTGTTGCTTAGAAGACTTAATTGTGTGGAGCAAAATGACAATGCATAAATTAGAGGGTCTTTCTATATATCGTCTTTTATATTTTAAAGAAAATCATGATAGACATCGAAAAATTAGAATGAAGACATATATACAAATAATAGATGTTGAGTTTTGAGTAAAATATATATATAATTCTCTAGCAAAGACGTTTTAATATTAAGTTGTTAAGACAATGGTTAAATATAGTTGGGTTCATCATTAGTGGACTTAATCGGGCAGAGTCAATTAAGGCCCAGAATGGGCCCATGCCATCCCCGAGATTTTGAAAACTAGTTGCAAGTTACTTTTGCTCATCATTGTTACTTGCTCACATTTATTGTTTGTCATTATTTATATTTGTTGATCATTAACATTGTCATTAATTGTTTGTTGAGTTTATTTATTGTATATTGTTTATACTTGATTTTGATATCAATGACTCACACGTGTAAAGTATTAAATAAGCTTAAAAGTTACACGTGATATGAAAATATGTAGCGAGAGAATAAATAAAAAAAACGATTTTTAAAGTGGTTCGAATGCTCAAAAGTGAATCCTACGTCCACTGTAGTTGTATTAATAGATGGTTACAGTCAGGTCGCGTGTAGCGAGCTGAACTATAATTTAGAGAATATAGAGAGAGAAAAAGAGAATGTATGATGTTCAAGACTAATGATAAACTAATTCCGTAAATGAAAAAGGAGCCCTCTATTTATAGTTGGAGGATTCAAGGTAATAATCATGAGTCTACAGTTCGGCAGGTGTGGTACAATTCCTAACCCGCTTTCCATTGGTTGTTTATACGAGAGACATCCTTAAATCGCGTAGGGCTTGGACAGGTGGACGATTCCTAGCCACTCGCAAACCTGACATTCACCTGTTGCACTGACGAGAACCACATATCTTTCGTCATTGCGCGATGTGACAACGTCTAGATGACACAAAGCCTCCCTGAATTCTGGTTGGTCCTTGCTGACGAGAGTCCAGATCAGTCCTGATTTTTTAGACATAACATATATTGATTAGTTCAATTCATTGTTATTGATAGCTTTAACTCCACATTAATTTTCATAAACTCCTATTCACCCCCTATAGGAATATTTGCCATTTAGGGTTTCACATTAGCCATTCGGATTTGGAAGAAACTTAAAAAAGAAATACCATCATTAATGGATTATTAATATAACAAATTTATATATGAAAATAAAGAAAAAAAAATAGAGAGATATGATGAAGGGTCATGTGGACAACTTTATTGTGCATTTTTTTTTTTTTTTAAAATTTCAAGTAGTAATGTTTTGGTTGTATAATTGTTATTTAATATAATTCTACCATATAAATGACGGGTGATTTAATACACCCCTGAAAGTGTCGAGTAAATAATGCCCCCAAAAGTTTAAAAAGAGCCACTAACACTCTTGTCATCTATTTTAGCGATTAAAATGGATGGAAGACCAAGTTTGACCAGTGCAATTAGAAATTTACCAAAGATTTATTAATAGCTTGACCATTTTACCTTGAAAAATTATTATTGTTCAAAATGCTACTTATACATCTCAACGTGCCAAACCACCGTACTAAATTACTAAAGAAATTTAATTTAAATGTGTTTCAACAAAAACTTTGTACACATTAAAACAAAATAAGATAGGAAAGAAAATATTTAATTCATGTTTTAAATTTTTATTTAAAATTTATGTTAGATATTTAAAATTTAGGTTAAAGTATATTTAATTCTTTTAAAGTTTGTTAAATTTATCATGTAAAATTTATTTTTAGAAAATTTATAGTTTTGTAATATTATTTAATTTCTGTAAAAAAAAAAAAAATTATTTAGTTTTTAATTTTAATAAAATATTTTTATGGGAATCTTAAATATATTAAATTTATATTTTTGATATTTTATTTGTTTCCTATACAGTATAGTGTTTAAATTGGCCAAGTGGTAAAAGGGTTGATTCTTTTTTTTGAGATCACGGGTTCAAGTCGTGTGTATAACAATTTAACTAATAAATAATTACAGTAAAATGTTGGTTTTACCCTTTCCTCCACCTATTTTTGCCGTGCAAAAATAGGGAGTAAAGAGTCTTTATGGATTCTTTTAGGAGGTGTAAATTGTCAATCATCTTATAAATGATAAATGGGGCATTTGAATCATATAATGTTTTATTATAAAGAGATATTATATTAACGGAATAAAAGACCACCTTAAAAATTACTGAGAATGTTTAGTAAATGTATTTGGTTGATTCGAATAAATTGGTGAATAATATGTTTGGTTGGGAGGATAAATGGATGGGTATGTTATATAGATTACTAAATTGACCTCTTTTTTAAATATTAATATAATAATATTTTTTATTATTATTTTTTGAATGGTTTTTTTAACCTCCTACTTTTCAAATTTAGCAAAAACACCCTAGTAACCAAAAATATTTTAAATTTAACAAAAACACCCCTACCCACCCTAAGTCACTGTCGGCAACTAGCCACCACTGCTAGCGGCTGCCGGCAGTGCCACAAATCTAGCTGTGACACTGGCAGTGCCATAGATCTGGTTGTTTCATGGTCAGATCTATGGCCGTGGAGTTTCACGGCCAAATCAGTCATCGTTTCACTGCCACATCCTTGGCCGTGAAACGACCATAGATCTGGTCGTGAAATAGTCAGATTTGGCTTTTTCTGACCATGGATCTGTTATCCATGGTCAGAAAAAGTCTCACCGGCACACGACTGGCCATATACGATTGGTCGTACACCATTATGACGACTTTTGGTAGCCTTCGACAGCGGTCGACGATGGTGGCTAGTTCTGGGTATAATGATATTTCTATAAATAATGATAATAACAAGGGCAATGTCGTCTAAAAAATTTAAAAAGTGAGGACAAAAGTGTCTGCATGAGTGATAAGGTGTTTTGTAAATATTAACAAATATAAGATTAATTTGGACCAAATGCTCAACTGTTTGGGGGCAATATGGGAAAAAGAATTGTAATAACAAGATAAGTTTTAATAACAACCACCCTCCCACCCACCCCCCCACCCCCCAAAAAAAAAACCCGACATTAAGATTACTAGAAATTCGCCCCCCAAATGCTACTGTTTGTCATAAAATATTATGAGAATAATTTTTTACAAATCAACCAAACATCATCATCTGCTCAATTTAAAAAATATTACCACAGTTATCTAATATTAACCCGATCCAAATGGCCCCAAAGTGTTATATTTTGTTAAGGAAAAGATGAAAGAAAAACTTTACCCAAAAAAGAAAAGAGAAAAGCTTATACATTGTTA